TGCTTTTTTTCTTCCCCTTATCTTTCTTTTGTGTGTGTGATGGGGCCCCCCCCCCCCGGATCTTTTATAATGGATCTTGCCAAGAGAAATCTCAAATAATGGCAGATTAGTTATTTAAGTTGGCTGTAGGGAGCAAAAATGTGGGAGAATTGATTTGGCTATAATGGTGATCTCTTAGTAGTCTCATGTAATGTGTCTCCAGTCTGTGACTGTCACATGAAGCATGTTCCCAGTCTCCAACATCACCTGTAGTATAATCGATGCAAGGTACAGCGCTAAAAGCCTCTCGGCGATGCACCCAAAAATGTTCTAGTGTTGTAATAAATTAGTACAATAAAGTGTCAAACATACTTTTCACAAAGAATTATATGTAAATAAATCAAATCTCTGTGTGAATAAAGGTGCACAACATGTGACACATAGTACATGCAAAAAACATCCACACTGCAAACTATAAATCTCAATACTCAAAGGCACTGTCTGTTGAAACCTCTCTTGGAGGAAAAAACAGGTGTAACTGAAAGTATCTAAAACAAACACAATTCTAAGACAAATATTATATTAAGTTGCTAAAAAGTGAAGTGAAACGAAAATATTGAAGTGAAAAGTTTTGCAACACAAAACCTCATTCCAATGTGGCAACAAAGCATTCACAATGTGACAAAAAAAGGGTTTCCTTTTGGATCTTTCGTGGCTTGTCAAAAGAATTCCAGTGAAGAAAATTTACTTTAAGAAATCAAATGAAAACAAAAAAACAGCCAAAAAAGATTCGGATCTATTTTCTTCAAGAAAATAATTAATATAGATAAAAATGAAAATAAAACACAAACAGCAAAGTGTTTTTTTTTCTTCAAGAATAGTGAAATCGATTTTTCTAAAACAAAAAAACTCGAGTCTGTGACGTGTTCAACGAAAACCAAGGAGTCCCCTCTCGGGTATGCACTCACCAGAAGTAAGATGTTATTAAGGCAATTTACCTCGCCGGGATGGAAACCGGAGCTCTACGTTCTCTCGTCTTTGGAGCTCGCTAGGATACTACGATTATCTCCCAATCAAAGCCATGAAGAAAGAGAGCAATACGCTCATGGTGTAGTAAATAAGGAATGTATTGTATAAAAAAAAAACACACAATAGCTCGAAGATAACAATTATAAAACAGCCGGCTGGTCGGTCAAGCGTGACTCTCCAGACTAAATGTGTTTTTTGTTTTTTTAAATAACTTTTATCTTCGTGCTATTGTGTGTTTTTTAAACAATAAATTCCTTATTTACTACGCCATGAGCGTATTGCTCTCTTTCTTCATGGCCTTGATTGGGAGATAATCGTAGGATCCTAGCGAGCTCCAAAGACGAGAGAACGTAGAGCTCCGGTTTCCATCCCGGCGAGGTAAACTGCCTTAATAACATCTTACTTCTGGTGAGTGCATACCCGAGAGGGGACTCCTTTTGGTTTTCGTTGAACACGTCACAGACTCAGTTTTTTTGTTTTGTTTGAGAAACACATCGATTTCACTGTTTGGTTTATTCTTTAAGAAAAAAAAATACTTTTTTTGCAGTTTTTTTTTTTTTTTATTTTATATTCTTTTTTTGAAGAAAATAGATCCAAAGAAACAGACTTTTTTTGGCTGTTTTTTTGTTTTCATTTGATTTCTTAATTATTATTCACTTGAATTCTTTTGACAAGCCACGAGAGCTCAAAAGAAAACCCTTTTTTGTCACATTGTGAATGCTTTGTTGCCACATTGGAATGAGGTTTTGTGTTGCAAAACTTTTCACTTCAATATTTTCGTTTCACTTCACTTTTTAGCAACTTAATATAATATTTGTCTTAGAATTGTGTTTGTTTAGATACTTTCAGTTACACCTGTTTTTTTTCCTCCAAGAGAGGTTTCAACAGACTGCCTTTTGAGTATTGAGATTTATAGTTTGCAGTGTGGATGCTTTTTGCGTGTGGATGCTTTTTGCGTGTGGATGCTTTTTGCATGTGGATGCTTTTTGCATGTACTGTGTCACATGTTGTGCACCTTCACACAGAGATTTGATTTATTTACATATTCTTTGCGAAGAGTATGTTTGACACTTTATTGTACTATATCGCAACACTAGAAATGTTTTGGGTGTATCACCGAGAGGCTTTTAGCGCTGTACCTTGCATCGATTAACCCATAAGGCATACCGCCTGAGTCTAGCAGCTTCTAGCTAGTCCGTTTTTTTCTGTTTTTGTTCGTTTTTTGTTTTTTTTCCGTTAGCGCAGGTTTTTGTCTATCACCTGTAGTATGCCTACAGTCTATGCCAGCTTTTTGTATAAATTAATTGAATGTTTTGGACGGCCTTTTGGCGATGTCGAGGGCTGCACTTGAGGCCCCCCATATCGAATTGATCACTACAGCTGTAGTTATTGGGTTGCAGGTAGTCCACTGAGGGAAGAGTAGATTATGGATGCTGTGAATTGGAGGGTGTTGCAAGTTGTAGGTGTTCTTCACTTCGGGATGAAGTGGGGGGTGTAAGGTGGGAAGTGTGTTCACTGCTGTTGCTGACTAGCCCTAGAGAGATTTTGTGGGTTGTGGTAGTACTGTATTTTTCCAGTGATCTGCAGCCTGCATGCAATGTCTGAAGAGGTGAGCAGCAATGTTAGGCATTGGACCATGACTTATCCAGGTCACTGCAAATTCTTCTTCTACATCGGTGGTCACGAATTCAAGTAGTGTTGGTGTACAATTTGTCATAAGTTGGGGTGAGATGCATGTGGTCATGTCTGTGAGCCAAAGTAATTTTAGGTTGAGAACAATCGGCTTTTAGGGTAATGCAAAGGAGGGAAAACGAAGGAACGTTTTTTGTGTGTTTTGTGTTTGTTTGTTTTTTTTTTTGGTTTTTTTTTCTTCCACCAAATATTTACATTTTTTTTTCCCCCCTATTCACTTGTTTTTATTTCCTATAGACATAACTACTTCCCTTTCTCCATAAATTGTAGGAATACATTAGAATGAACTGCAGACTTCATGGCATCTGTCTATGGGTGTGTGTGATGCCAAGTACCCAAAGGGGTCTATTGTTTTTTTAAATTCTTTATTGTACCTCAGTGAGAAAGTACATTCCAGTGGACAAAGTAGGGCAACCGCCCTCCACATAACATTACAATAAACTGAGACATCACATGCATGTCCTCATATACGTTAAGGCACAATCACTGTACAGCAATGAAGCAAAACTCCCGGCGGGAGTAGATGTCTCTACCTGTAACCCGTAGCGGGTATCTCACGATCATTGTATCGTATAAAAGCATAACATCATTAGTATCATCCACCACACCTTGGTACTAAGGTCCCTGGCAAGTATATGCAACATAGTACGCATTCGTGGTGTAGGATTGCATTTCCTGACCCATTATCGTAGCTTGGATGGAAACTTTCTTGGCTAGCCTCTCAAGAGCTTAGAGCTTGGAGTCCCTGGAGAAAGGACTCTGCAGACAGGGAACTCTGAGCTTGGAGAGAGGAGGAGGAGGAGGAAAGACAAAGTTTAAGAGATAGGAGCAGTCTTGAAAGTAAAAGTAAGGGTAGGTCACCACTTCCCCTCCTCATGACCCAGCAGAGCCGCCTGGAGCTTGGTCTGTCATAACCTTCTGATAGGTATCTGTATACCTGAAGTGGAGCCAGGCACCCCAGGTCGCGCCAAACCGTTCCTCTGTGTTGTGGATGGATGCTGTGAGATCTTCCATGCGGTAGATGTCATTAATTTTATCGAACCAGAGACGCAGAGTTGGAGGAGCCGGTCGCCTCCAGAGTAGGGGGATACACGCCTTGGCGGCCGAGAGCATGTGGATGGAGAGCGAGTGTTTGTATTTGGTGACAGCATTGCCCGTCATGTGTAGGAGGTAAGTAGCAGGCTGGTCCCCCATGGTGAGTTGTGTCATGATTTCCCTTACCGCGTCCCAAAAGGGTCTGATCTTTGGGCAAAACCAGAAGATGTGGGCCATGTTTCCCTGTATATTATCACATCTCCAGCAATTGGAGGGTACCATGGGATTCATTTTGTGTAGGAGTGTTGGGACTCTATACCATCTGGCCAAGATTTTGTAGCCCTGTTCCTGGAACTGATTAGCGATGGATGCCTTATGCACCAGCGCTAGAATTTTTGCCCGTTGATCCTCCGTGAACGTCTGTCTCAACTCAGACTCCCATTTTCTGATGTATGGAGGGCAGAAGTCCTGGGGGGGGATGGAGAGTATCCCGTAAATGACAGTTATGGCGTGTCGCACCGGGAGGCCCTGCCTACACAGGGTTTCAAAGGGTGTAAGGTCCCGGATAGGGAGCGCTGACTGCGGGATCGCCTGCAGGAAGTGCCTCAGTTGCATTGCCGTCCAGCCCGACAAAGGGGGAGATGTCAATGCGCATATGGCCGTGTGTGAAAGGATGGTCCCCCCCTGGAGGAGATCCACCAGTCGGAACTTGTTAGCAGTACGGAGTCCCCTCAGTCTCGCATCTTCCATGCCCGGGGCAAAGTCGGGGTCACCCAGTACCGGAGTCATGGGGGATGGGAATGGGGAGACGGATGTCACCCTGAATGACTCCCTTGCTGATCTCAGGGTCGCCCCAATGGTAGGGTGTGAGGCCAGAGCCACGGGCATTGGCGCCGTGAGCCAGGGCAATCCCTCTATGGGTATCTTACATTCCCCTAGTTCCATTTGTACCCATTGCTTGCTCTCTTGGTTGCATGTCCAATCTACGATTCGGGCCAGATGGATTGGGGTCTATTGTTTTAAAGAATCAAGGTTCATCCAGAATTCATAATTCCAGTGTAATCCAATTAGAAAGATCCCTTTTTTTAAAAAGTTGTTTAATCTTGTGCTTCCCATACATGGGCACATATTATTCAAGATGGCTAGTAGGGACAGATCTGCCCATCTTCACCAAGCTCGCATATCAATGGGACTCCGCTCTTTTTCTTTTATATACAGTTTAGGCAATGTTTGAATGTGACACAATGCGGTAAAGCGTTGGATGGTCCTTTTTTTTTTTTTTTTTTTTTTAAATTGGGGGTTAACCTAAAGAAAACAAAAAGCT